GATCTTGAGGTAGTAACAACCACCACTACCACCAGCAAAATCAATCATCAACGCCATCATCGTCACCATCGTCACCAAGCGCAAAAACAGAAGCAACATTGATGACCCAAACGAAGGGCAAGAAACCTGACTGACAACGTTGATGACGGCTACAATGACGATTATGGAAATAGCTATAGTGATAAAGATGGCGAGAAAAATAACAGTAGTAATAACAATAATAATAAGAATAAAAATTATAATAGTAATAATACTAAAAGCGACAGTGCCAATTATAGCAATAATAATAATAACAATAAAAGAAAGCAATTTGATTTTTTTTTTTCGCCGCAGACAGATGTTGCAAAAATCTAAGTGTTTATACATTAGAAAAATGATACAGCATAAAAAATAAAGGAAAAAAAAGGTTAGATAAAACAAGGAAACTTCATACCAATTCATTGGTAAAGATATGGCAAAAGCCGGAAGAAAAGATGAACAGAAATCAGTATTTTTTATTTTTAAAAAATTTTTTCTTGTTCTTTTTCTCCATCCCGCTCATTCAAACAACATACAATAGGAGGAACATAATCCCAAATAGAAAAAAAGCTGACTGTTTGAGAGGAAAGAAAAAAAAGAATCAAAAAGCAAAATACCATAAAATTTTTTTGAAAAATTCTTTATTTTTCTGTCTCATTTTAGCAACACAGTCACTGTTGCAACAAACGACAGCAAAAATAAAGATCTGCCTTTTTTTTTCCCATCACAATCATTATCAGAAAATCGCAATGGCATTATGGGCTTTCTTTTTTCTCTTGGTTTATAGATCCAACACAGTTTATAATATTTGCTTGTTATTAAAAAAATACGTATCAAACCAGCGGGACAAATAATAACTGATATCCAACAAACAACATCTCCAATCAACAACGACCGAATTTGAAATCAGTTTTCATTTATTTGAAGCTATCAGAAACAACCACAACCACGTATTTTTGCGTCCAGACTCTGTCCAGTCATTCGACAACGACTACTATATATAGAAATGAATTTAAGGATAGAAATATTGGGAAAGAAATTGATTAAACTGATAAAATAACCAGACAAGGGAAAAGCACAGAAGATGAGGAAGTGGGAGGAAAAAACACAGAGCGGTTCATCTAAGGTAAAAATGTAAAAACGGCAACAAAAAATCGCTTTCATTTTAACAATTTTTTTCACCTTCTTCTTCTTAACTGACATATCCGCTCAGAAACCAAGAAAAACCCAAACATCCTTCAGTTATCATACTGATATTTAACTTGAACAGAATAAGCAAAAAAAACTAAAATCTTTAATCCTCTCCTTTTCTTTCTTCTCTCTCCACTTCCCACCATCTCTTCTCTTCAATTTTTTCCATTCCAATCTTTTCGCTAACTCCAAAAAAGATATATATTAATTGTGCGATGCTATTTGAAAACTACAGTTTTACCTTTTAGAGTAACTGGCAATCATTTGCTATAAAGGAAATTCGAGACCAAAAAAAGCGCCATAAAACAGGAAAACACTGCTACTAGCAGCAATAGCAATGGGAGAACAAAGTAGAGAACAAGCAGATGCAATAAAATCAAGAAACAACGTAACAGTAAAAATAAGCTTAATTATCCACCAGTGAACCAGAAAACAGCTCTGTTACATTGAAGACGGATGAAGAACAAGGATGAGGAGGACTACGCGAAGATGAAGATGATGACGAAGAAGGAGAAGAAAAAGGAGAAGAAGAAGAAGAAGAAGAAGAAGAAGAAGGAGAAAAGTAGGAGAAAAAAGCGAGGGTCAGCTAGACCAGTTTCTGAAAACTGGTGGAACATCGTTTTGGAGAAAATGAAGCCAAAGCAATTTGTTGTTGTTTGTTGTCGTTGTTGAAAAAAGATGAAGAAGCATAAAGAACTGCCTGAATTACTTTATGATTTTGCGGTGACACAGGCAACCAATTTTTTTCCTTTTTTTTTGCTTTTGCTTTTGCCTTTGCTTTTGATGAAAAAAAAAGAAACGAATAGAAAGATTCATGTATAAAGGCTCTCATTCAACAGATATAATTAGATTATTGCCGATTTTTACCGCTACAAACCTTTTTATTGTTCTCTCCATTATATTAAAGCTGACGCTATGCAAATCAAGTTCTTCTGCTTTGGCTTTCTTTTTCTTCTTTTTTTTTTTTTGCTTCTTCACACAAACATACATAAACATACACAAAAATATACGCACAAAAAAAAGCAGTAAAGAAAAGGAAAGGAAAGGAAAGGAAAGAAAAGGAAAAGACAAGAAAATATATTTCAACAGTTCAAATAAAC